TATCAGTGTGTCCTTATTTCTTTTCTTTTCTTTTTTCTTTCTTTCTTTTCTTTCTTTCTTTCTTTCCTTTCTTTCTTTCTTTCGGTCTATCTTTCCTTTTTTAGAGACAGTGTCTCACTATGTTAGACAGGCTGGTCTTGAACTCCTGGACTCAAGGGATCTTTCCGCTTCAGCTTCTTGAATAGCTTGGACTACAGGCTCACACCATCAAACCAGCTCCTCTTGAGTCCAGTGGAAGTACCACCTCAGATCACTGACATGTGTCCTCCAACTCTAAATTTACAAACGGCAAAGCGGAAAAAAAAAAAAAGCAGAAAGGGAATAACTGATGAGAAAATGGATCAAAGAAAGTAGAAAAGAGAGGAAGAAAAAGAGTGATAGAGTACAGAAATGAAATGGCTTAGGCTATCAAATTCTGGCCTAGCTTTTAATGGAAATATGCAGAATTTCACATGGGTCTTCTGTTTTCTCCAGATTAAAAGGAGTCATGGAATCATCATGTTCTTAGTTTTGTGGTCAGTACCCAAACGATCCTGGTGGAAAGAACAGCTTCTGAGGGGAAGAAGCTGGCAAGCAACTCCTAAAATGTCAGGTTAAATATCAACTGTTCAGAAAGGAAAATACTGCCACTTTGTTCATTGATACCGTCCAGATTTTCCTTAACAAAATTTACTCCAAAGTCTATAAATCCATAGTTCTCTGATCCACTTAGTGATTATTTGACTATCAGTTTTCACACTGGTCCCCAAGATTCCTGCTGAAAGGGAATTGTCTTAGCAAATGTAACTGGACTTTCCTCCCCAGTTCAGACCACAGGTGAAATGCAGAAGTGGGAAACATCGGGGCTAGTTCCAAGCCCATACAGGACTGAACCTCAGACATGAATCATGGTTTGGCTCTGAATGAAATGGTGTCAGAAGGTTGCACGGGATCAAACTGAGAAAGAAAGCAGATGTGGGACTTCCTTCTTGCCTCTTTTTGGAGGAAGTGAAATCACCCTTCAGCAATGCAGGTGCAAAGTTTTTGTGGACAAGATGGCTCTTTCTTTTAGAGATGAAAGTTCAGTGTTAGCCCACAGGCCATTACTCCTCAAGTGTGGCCATCTGGGGAGGTTATGTGACTGCATATGCATTCTAGTACAAGAAAAAGCAGCGGAAATTGCTGGTGAACAGAATAAACAAGAAAAGGTGTAGGTGAAACCCACTGGTCACCGCTTCCTCATATGTAACTTTTATGAACAGCTCTTCTGCTCCTGGCATGCAAAATTAAGTTAGGGCAAATTTCTCATCATTGTCACTTCTCCTTTCACTATCTCCCAGTGAATTGGAAAGAGAATTTCCTTGAGCACAGCAGTCACAGAATCCATAGGCTTTGGGTCATTTCAGGAATATAAAAATTTTAGAAATAATTTTTTTTTGTTCTTTTTGACAATCTTATTCTGTTCCCCAGGCTGGAGTGCAGTGGCATGATCTCAGCTCACTGCAACCTCTGCCTCTTAGGTTCAAGCCATTCCCCTGCCTCAGCCTCCCAAGTAGCTGGGATTACAGGTGTGTGCCACCACCACAACTGGCTAATTTTTTGTATTTTTAGTAAAGATGTGATTTCTCCATGTTGGCCAGGCTGGTCTTGAACTCCTGGCCTGAAGTGATCCACCTCGGACTCCCAAAGTGCTGGGATTACAGGTACGAGCCACCACACCTGCCCTGTTTCTTTTGTTTTTTAAATTGGTATGCATTGGTTATTTTCCTGAGCACAAAAGTAATGATTACCCAATACTCATCACTGTTGGCACTTAGTAGGTTCTGAATACAAATTTCTCAAGTTAATATATACATGCTCATTGTTGAAAACTCAAAAAACACAGAGAAGAGGAAAAAATTAAAATAATTTAGAAAAACGTCCTAACCAGATGTAATTACTGTCTATGTATTAGCATACATCCCTCTAGTTATGCACATAGTTGGGGTCATGCTGAATGTTTCGCATTCTTTTTTTCATAACATTCTTGTCAGAGGCATTTGAACCAGAGCAACCCTATCTTGAATAGGGGCTGGGTAAAAGAAGGCTGAGACTTGCTCGGCTGCATTCCCAGTAGGTTGGGTATTCTAAGTCACAGGATGACATAGCAGGTCGGCATAAGACACAGGTCATAAAGATCTTGCTGATAAAACAGCATGCAGTAAAGAAGGCAGCCAAAACCCGCCAAAACCAAGATGACGACAAGAGTGACCTCTCGTCATCTTCATTGTTCATTATATGCTACTTATAGTGCATTAGCATGCTAAAAGATATTTCCACCAGTGCCTTGACTGCCCATGTCCAGAAGTTACCCTCTATAGTTTTAAAAGGGGAGGAACCCTCATTTCTGAGAATTGCCCACCTCTTTCCCAGGTAACTCATGAATAATCCACCCCTGGTTTACCATATGATCAAGAAATAACACTAAGTATCCTTAGTCAAGCAGCACATGCTTCTGCTCTGCCTGTGGAGTAGCCATTCTTTTTTTTTTTTTTTTTTTTTAACTTCTCTAATAAACTTTCTTTCACTTTACTCAATGGACTTACCCTGAATTCCTTCTTTCACAAAGTTCAAGAACTCTCTCTTGGGGTCTGGGTTGGGAACTCTTTCTAGTAACATTATGGCATAAGAATTTCTCATGTTATTAAAATTGTTTGGAGTAATTGTGATGGCTGTAAAATGTTTTATTTTATGGATACAATGTAATTTCTCTTTCAGCTATTCTCCTTTTTTTTTTCCTCGACAAAAAGAAGACAAAGGCTGTAGAAGAAATAAAAAATACAGTGAATGGGCATCTGGAGACATAGGAAAACCTGAATATAGAATTGTCTGTATTAACCTTTCTTGTATTCTCATTTCAGGAGAGTGAGCTCTCAACAGGATCCACTAAAGAGAAAGCAGAGGGTAACAAATTGTCAGCTTGTCTCCAAAGCAGTGTAAGTGAGAGTATTCTAATTTTGATGAACCATCTCAGAAATAGTTTGAAGAGAAGTATGTAGATATTTCAACAGACTTACTGGAAGTACTAAAGGGCATTCAACTCTCATTTTTCTAATTCTGGGATCATGCTGCTGAGGTATAAATTTATAACTAACTGATTTATAAATTAACCAGAACATCCTGTGCAAAGGTTTCATTCTCTAGCAAAATATAGACTGGATATTATTTTATAAATTAATTCCTCTTGGGTGGCTGCTGTCAGTTCCCAGAAGCATGATAAATGTGGCACAAACAGACCTAGAATATCAAAGTGTGGTGGTGCATGCCTGCAGTCCCAGATTCTTGAGAGGCTGAAGTGGGAGGATTGCTTGAGTGCAGGAGTTCTGGGCTGTAGTGTGCTATGCCAATCTGGTGTCCACACTAAGTTCAGCATCATATGGTGCCTTCCTTGGAGCAGACCACCAGGTTGCCTAAGGAGGACCCAGGGTGGAAATGGAGCAGGTCAAAACTCCCATGCTGCTCAGTAGTGGGACCACAGGTGTGAATAGCTACTGCATTCCAGCCTGGGCAATAAGCAAGGCCCTGTTTCAGAAAAAGAAATAGATTCAGAATACAGTATTTCTAAATTTACAGAACACCACCATGGTTTTGATTATAACTGGTAAAGCCCAGCCTGGGAAGCTAGGCAACTAGCCTCATTCTGTCTAAAAATACGTCTTAGCTGCATCATTGACCAATAGAGGGATTCAATTCCTTGGAACCTTCTTTCCAGAATGCATACAGGTTATGGTGTAGTGATACCTGTGAATTGCAATGTGACTTTTTCCATCTCAGCACTGTATCTGGTTCATGGTATGATTTCGGGGATGTTAAGGACGAAATTAGGAGCTTCATTAACTCCTCTGGATTCTCTGGCTCCCACTAAGCATACTAAGACACAGCCCAATTGTCCCAAAGAATTAACAGAGCTGAGATTCAATCAGTCTTGGCACCAGATCAATGGGCCAGGAAACATTGTTTTAAATTACGGGGTCTAATAGAGCTGGCATTGGCACTTGAAAAGAAATTCATGTAATTATATTCTTCTAATGATACAGCAAATGAATTGTTGCTTTAAAAAAATATTGAGTAATGAAGACCACATTCTTTTTTATGCACCTAAACTGATGACACACTAGCAATGGAATGAAAAATTAAAGGTATAACAGGAACCAACTTCATGTAAAATGCACACATACAGAGGATATATAAATGTGTGAACACATACACATATGTTCCTTGGCCCCTGTCTGCCATTGATAAATCAAAATCTAGATTATAGTGTGGTTTTGTCTTGAATATTTCTATCTGAATAAAAACAACACAGTGTAGGGATTCCTTGCCCTCACTCTGAATGTTTAGGATAATGCAAATTGGGGTTTCCCAGTATATATTGCATCGAATCCTCTTCAGGCCCCATCAACTCTGCTCCGGACAATGCCATCCCCAAAGACAGAACTGTTATGACTCATAACAATGAACCCCATGGGACAAGTGTCCAAGAGTTTCACTCCTTTCATTCTGGAAACAGCTTCCACCCTTATGCAAATAGGAAACCCAGAACTGGCCTTGACTGACAGCTTGCATGGGTATGGTGGAGGCAGGGTGTTTCAGCAAGGGTGATGTGGTCATTTGCCTGTGTTTCCAGTAAAAGGAAACTGGTATTGGAGGCCCAAGAGAGAGCAGTCAGGGAAACTGTGAAACATCAAGTCCAAGAGAGTGAGCAAAAAGCAAAGCCAAACTTTCTAGTGGAGGAAGCAGTAGGGTGTGGGGTCACGGTTGTTTTTTTTTTTTTCCTAAGTGCCCACCCCTGCAGCAGCGTAACCAGCCTGGGCTGGGGGAAAATTAGAATGGTTAACTGTTAGGCATGTAGAACTGTGTTTGGATGTTTAATATGGCATACATTCTTCAAAGTCCTGATGGTGTTTAATATTCCAGCCAACTCTCGTTTCCTCATTTTGCAATTAAATTAGCTTAAAGAGGAACTTGTAACTTTCAGAGAACTGTTGAATTTTCTGCTTCATTGCCTACTTTTTTTCCCTATTTAGTTTGCCTGAAGCTTGCTGGCTGCTGTGTAGGGCTGGTGTGTGGCTGGGCTGTCTGGGCCATGAACAGCTTCAGGGCTGCCATCCTCTTCTGGGCAGTGGCAGGATGGGCTAAATCAGGCAAGCCTCCAGGAGAGACAGATAAAGTTGGAGTTCAAAAATGCAAGAATGCCTTGAAACTACCTGTCCTGGAAGTCCTACCTGGAGGGGGCTGGGACAATCTGCGGAATGTGGACCTGGGACGGGTGATGAACTTGACTTACACCAACTGCAGGACAACAGAGGATGGACAGTATATCATCCCTGATGAAATCTTCACCGTTCCCCAGAAACAGAGCAACCTGGAGATGAACTCAGAAATCCTGGAATCATGGACAAATTACCAGAGCAGCACGTCCTACTCCATCAACACAGAACTCTCTCTTTTTTCCAAAGTCAATGGCAAGTTCTCCACCGAGTTCCAAAGAATGAAGACCCTTCAAGTGAAGGACAAGGCTGTTACTACCCGAGTTCAGGTGAGAAACCTGATCTACACAGTCAAAATCAACCCAGCCTTAGAGCTAACCTGGGGTTTTAGGAAGGAGCTCCTGGACATCTCTGACTATCTAGAGAACAACCGGACGAGGATGGCCACCTACCTGGCAGAACTTTTGGTTCTCAACTATGGCACCCACGTCATCACCAGTGTGGATGCTGGGGCTGCTCTTATTCAGGAGGACCACATCAGGGCATCCTTTCTACAAGACAGCCAGAGCAGTCGTAGTGCCGTGACCGCATCTGCTGGAGCTGTCTTCCAAAACATTGTGAACTTCAAATTTGAGGAGGACTATGCCTCACAGAATGTCCTCACCAAGAGCTACCTCTCAAACAGAACCAACTCCAGGGTGCAGAGCATCGGAGGGGTTCCTTTTTACCCAGGCATCACCCTCCAGGCTTGGCAGCAGGGCATCGCCAACCACCTGGTGGCCATCGACCGCACTGGCCTGCCTCTGCATTTCTTCATCAACCCCAACATGCTGCCTGACTTGCCAGGTCCCCTGGTGAAGAAGGTGTCACAGACGGTGGAAACTGCCATTAAGCGCTATTATGCGTTCAACACCTACCCTGGCTGCACAGATCTCAATTCTCCCAACTTCAATTTTCAGGCCAACACAGATGATGGCTCCTGTGAAGGAAAAATGACCAATTTCTCTTTTGGTGGAGTTTATCAGGAATGCACTCAGCTCTCAGGGCATGAGAATGTCCTCCTCTGCCAAAAGTTGGAGCAGAAGAATCCACTCACTGGTGCTTTCTCCTGCCCCTCTGGCTACTCCGCAGTGCACCTGCTGTCCCAGATCCACGAAGAGGGTTACAACTACCTGGAGTGTCGTAAGAAGTGCACCCTCCACATCTTCTGCAAGACGGTGTGTGAAGATGTGTTCAAGGTGGCAAAGGCTGAATTTAGGGCTTTTTGGTGTGCAGCTAGTAGCCAAGTACCAGAAAACTCAGGAATGCTTTTTGGGGGCCTCTTCAGCAGTAAGAGCATAAACCCCGTGACAAATGCACAGTCATGCCCAGCCGGCTACTTTCCACTGAGACTCTTTGAAAACCTCAAGGTATGTGCCTCTCAGGACTATGAGTTGGGAAGCAGGTTTGCGGTTCCCTTTGGTGGGTTCTTCAGCTGCACAGTTGGGAACCCCTTGGTGGATCCTGCTATATCCAAAGACTTAGGGGCACCGTCTCTGAAAAAGTGCCCCGGGGGCTTCAGCCAGCACCTAGCCCTTATCAGTGATGGATGCCAAGTGTCCTACTGTGTCAAGTCCGGGCTCTTTACAGGAAGGTCCCTGCCCCCTGCCAGGCTCCCACCTTTCACTCGGCCACCCCTCATGAGTCAGGCTGCCACCAATACTGTCATAGTGACCAATTCTGAGAATGCAAGATCCTGGATTAAAGACTCCCACACCCACCAATGGAGGCTGGGAGAGCCGACAGAGCTGCGGAGGGCCATGAACGTCATTCATGGGGATGGTGGTGGTCTGTCAGGAGGGGCTGCAGCTGGGGTCACAGTGGGGGTCACCACCATTCTGGCTGTTGTCATCACCCTGGCCATCTACAGCACCCGGAAGTTCAAGAAGAAAGCTTATCAGGCAATTGAAGAGAGGCAGAGTTTGGTTCCAGGCACTGTAGCAACTGGAGACACCCTGGACCCAGCGCAGGTGCAGAGTCCAGCTTAAATCTCTCCCCGAAAATGGCTTCTCTCATCTCCTACCAGTGTGGTCATTTCTGATCACTCTGTTTTCCTAAGTATTGAAATGGCAAGTGCCACCAAAAGTAGGTGTAACTTTGTGACTTCTTGTTTAGGTGTCTGGGTCAGGAAATTCATATTGTTACATGGATAAGAGGGGTTGGGGAGAGTGAACAGCTGGGACTAGAAGCAAAAGCCATTCTGGGACTAAAATAGGAAGCAGGTGTCCTTTCCCGATGTGTGTTGCTGTCTTCACCTGAATGCATTTGTGTAAAAATAGAGGAGAGTGTTAATGTTTGGATTTGGAAGCTCTGAATTTACTCTGAAGTTTGCCACTGCTTCCAATTTCTGAGCTCTAAGAATTTCTGCCTGTAAGAACTACCCTCTTTTTTTTTTTTTAGACAGTCTCGCTCTATCACCAGGTGCCAGGCTGGAGTGCAGTGACACTGTCTTGACTCACTGCAACCTCCGCCTCCTGGATTCAATCAATTCTCCTGCCTCAGCCTCCCGAGTAGCTGGGACTACAGGTGTGCGCCACCACCACGCCCAACTAATTTTTGTATTTTTAGTAGAGACGGGGTTTCATCATGTTGGCCAGGATAGTCTCGATTTCTTGACCTCATGATCCGCCCACCTCGGCCTCCCAAAGTGCTGGGATTACAGGTGTGAGCCACCGCGCCTGGCTCTATTTTGATTTTTAAACAGCTGTCTGAATTTCACAGTCTTAGAGCCTGGAAGAGCCCTGAAAAGACATAAGTCTTGCTTGGCTACTGCTTTTTAACTTTGAGGGCTCCGTGTTGACAGTGTTATCTCCTTGGGGTCACCTCAAAAACATCTGAAAAGAATGATGTTGCCTGTGCCAATTCCACTTTTTCCAGCTGGCCCATGACGAAGACTCACTTAGACCAGACCACTCTTGGACTTCTCAATAGTGTCATCAAGTCCTCAGAAAATATTTTAATTCATAAACTTCTATTAGTGAGTTAAAGAGGAAGGGATGATTTGGAGACAAGGAATAAGGAAAAACAGGTAAAAACTGAAAAAAATTTGAGGGTAAAAAAGGCAAGAAGTTAAAGTAAGCCCACAACTAAGTTTTACTTACTCTGTAGAATCAAAACAGAGTAGATAACACCAATTATGCACCCTACTTTTTTTCCAGCAGAAAGGAAGCTGACATGATCAAATCCATGTTTTCAAATGAACTGAAAAAGGCATCTAGCACCATTTTGTGTTATCTCTTTGGGGTCACCTCAAGTTTATTTCAGTTCCAGATGGAGCGCCCTGGAGCATCTAGCAGGAGGCATGATCCTCAGCTGGCAATAGTTGGGACTGTGTTCAATTTTAATATCAATCACTCCTGATTGTAATTACCTCCACTACTTTTATGATCCCGCTACAATATTTGTTTAATGATACTGTTTATTCACTGAATCATATGTCATTATGGAGTTATCTTCTGTGGAGGATGACTGTTCTCTTTGTTAATGTTCACAATCAAGATCCTGGGCTGAGAAGAGGCCCTTCCCCAAGGAGTTTGAAGCATTACAGAATGTGGGAAGGTGGGAACCAGGACACCCATTCATTTCCAACTGAGACACAGAGAAGTTAGTCACAGAATTTGAGCCCTGCTCTCTTGACCGCTCAGCCAGAGACACTGATTTCTGTAACCCCTTCACTTAACCCTGCCCCTTAAGCATTAAAACAGTCTCCTAAACCTCTGAGTGTTTTGTGGGTTCTGGGTGTTTTCTACATTTTAGCCAAGCTAATCACTTATCTGCAAATACTGATTTTCCTATGAATTCTTTGAAGATTATTGAGTCAGAAAGGCAAAATATAGCACCCAATTCCCAGGCTTTTAATGCACTAACTGCCTATTGAAATGAAAAGTTCTTTATAAATGTATATTCCTACTAACAAGATTGCACATAAATATGCATTAAAATATGTACTAAGGAACTCTCTGCCCAACGGCTCATGCATATGAAGTCAGATCATGGGAATTTGCCGTTTGCATTCATCAAGCCTTTTGGCGGAGTCAGATACCTGATGAACAAGCTGACAAGCTCTAACTTCCAAGCCCTGGGTTCCTAACTGGTGGTCTTAGGCTGGGGTCAGTGGGGAGACCAAGCCTGGCTTCCAAGAAAACCACATTCCACATACTACCAGAAATAGACACAGATTTGGGTGACAAAGGTGGCTCTTCATTTGCATTTTATTTTTGTGTTCTTGTCAGTTTTGAGATGATTAATATTAAACATTTATTTGAGAAACAGCTTGGAAACAATTTAAACACACACTATATTGTAGTCAGGCAAAGGGACCTTTAAAAGTGAATATTCGTGATTTTAAAGGTGGTTTAACTCCCACATGTTCTCTTACTCATTTTCCCAGCCATGTGGTCTGTTCCTTTAGGTGAACAAAGAGGCTAGCCAGATCAAATGTGTGGGTGGGTAATATGGGGAAAATGTTTTTTTAGGTGGTCAGGGGGAGGACTTCCCCCACCCAGTGGAAGGGCTTGTGATTGCTTACAGACTCAGGGAGGTAACCCAAATCCCTCACAGATAGGTGCACTTATCTACAAAAAGCAGAAGGTCAACAACAGCAACAACTTTGTGGTTGTTCATTTGCCATTTATTGTTCTGCACAGACACCTCATGAGCACCAGGTGGCGATGTCCTCTCACAGAGCAACACCAAGGACTTCAAAACACTCCAGTTACAAACAGAACAATTCACTTGGGACATTCACCTGCCTCTTGCAGAAACCCAATCTAATGCCTGGACTACAAACAAGGAAAAGGGTTTTTTTTTTTTTTTTTTTTTTTTTTTTTTTCTTGTACCACACAAGCCTTCCCCCAATTTTCTCATGCACACAACAGTGCAATACCAAGATGAGGACTTTCAACCAAGTATAAAACCACAGAGAAGACCAAATTTTACAAAAAGGGGAAGAGAATGAAAACACAAAGGCACACACAGCCACATATACACAATGAAGCTTTTAGGGGATGAGCATCTGACAAGGTTTGTCTCCAATCCAATTTGTCATCCCTGGAGACTCAGGAAGGGAGAAACTAGGCTGCTGGTGCTACGACCAGGAAACGGAAGGCATGGAATCCCCTAAATAGGCCAGGAGAGCACAGCAGGGCTTCTGGTGGGAAAACACCCTGTGTCAAGGTAGTGCATGCACAGGGCTTGGCTGGCAGGGTTCTCACCAAAATCCAGACCACACCTTTCCATTTTGGCACAAGAGAAAGGGCAGAGGAATGCTCCCTGCCTTGCCTGGCACAGTGTTAGAAAGGAAATTCAACATCACTACAGCCCAGAAAGCCACACAGGAACAGCACGAGGATGAGGTAGCCCCTACTGGGCATCAGCAGAGAGGACAAGAAATGGGGCATAGACACAATCAAATCCTAGGGGGAAAGGCTTGAAGGTATGAAGACTACCTCTCCAAGTGGTATTGCCACGGGCATAGTGGCTCCCTTTCCATCTTGAGTCCTCTTCCTTCTGCTCCTGGTCACCCCCTTCCCCACCTATACCTTCTTCTGCCTAATGTGGGGAAACTGGTCTCTCCCCACTGCCTTCTTCCATTGTGAAAATCTATCTTCTCTTCTTCCTCACCTCCTACTGCCTCATTGTGTTTCTTCCCGGGGACCCTCAGCCTATTTCTGCACCCTTGCAGCTAAGAAGCTCAGCAGATACTTGACCAGCGTGCTGAAGGCAGAGACGGCATGAGGCTCTCCAGGTAATCTCTGGTACGTGGTAACCTGACAAAGGGCACGGGTGTGACATTAAAACCACAGGGATATCTTTTCCATTTAGTTCAGGTGTTTCCTTCCTAACTGTGGCAGGAAATTGCCCTGTGGTGCAGTAAGCTGGGGACTAGTCTCCTGGTTGGCTGGTGAGATACAAGGGCTGCCTGCTGACAAGAGATACAGGGACAAGGATGGCAGAATGATTCCTCCCATCAGAGCTCCCTCTGGTGGAGCTGATCAACGTCCCTGCAGCCATTTGGAAAGGGAGCAAAGGCTCAGCACCAGCACATCCATAGAACTGGGTGACAGGCAGGTGAATCCACTGTCCACACCAACATCAAAATGGCTGGAGGCCTAACAGTAAGCAGCTATGGGGCTTGCTGGCTTTTATGAAAGCTCGGCCTCCGGTTCCCATCTAAGTACCATTTTTGAAGGTTCTTTTGTTTCCATTTTTCTAGCATCAAAAACCTTCCAAATATTATGAAATATATATGCATATATATACGTCAAACCCCCAAAACTTGAGGTATATAAATTCAAATTAGTATCCAGAGGAACTTCCCCCAAACACATAGTTCAAAGAACCCACTTTCAAAGGGGGAATTGGGTTTCCCTTCTTGATCCCCCCTTTTCTCCTCCCTGGCTCCCAATTCATTCCTTACTGGGAGCCAAAGGCAACAGGAATGTTGGGGAGGAGATAGGGCCTTGGGACACAACCAAGATGCAGATTGGACCAGACCATATTGTGGTCCCAATCCCATTAGAAATGAACTAAAGAGGCTCCCTCCCTGCTCTAAGTCAATCTATAATAGATGAGGGAGATGAGAAGCCCAGCAGCTCTGGGCTCTGATTACCAAATTTGTATGGAAACAGATTGAAGCCTTCATAGAAACAAGACTGGATGGAGATGACCTCTGATCCAGTCTTGAAAAGAACTATAAAAGGATGAGTCCAGCCCTCACCTCATTGCATCTCCCCAGGCACAGTTCTGTCTCCATTGGGGTTTCAGTTCACTATGGGATAGGTTAGCAACAGGTGAGGAACGTCAAAGGACCACAGTCTCACTATTGGATCCCCATCAGAACTGGGGTTTGGCATCTTGCAGAACAGAGTGCAGAGACACGATGGGCCTTCCCATCAAGCTGGCCCAGGGATGCACACACGTCCACACACACACACGCATGCACAGACACAGAGGGCACAGAGCCCAGCGTGGGCTCCACTCACAGTGACTTGATGAAACTCATGGAATCTTTGAGCTGGTCTAGAATGAGTTGGGAAGAAGGCTGTGGGCTCCTCTCCCTGAGGACAGTTCAGATACTCAGTGGGACTCAGGCTCTGGTTTGATCAGAGAGGGGATAGAAAGAGCATCATGGGATGCCACCCCCAAGGAAGAATTCCAGAGTCCCTTCATCCACATGAGAGAACCAGATGCCTCTTTGAACAGGTCAGAGCTGTGTGGAGGAGAGGAGGGCCCGGAGAAGCCAAGGGCTGTGATGAGAGCAGAATGTGCTCCCCGAGGCTTTTCCTTCTCTGACCCTCTTGGGAAGTCATGCTTCCTCGCTCTACACCAAGGCATCAGTTTCTGATGTCACAGAAGTTTAGCGGTTCACCCCTTTGTCCCCCAACCTTGCACAGTGAAAGCTCCCTGCCTCCAGCGGAGGA